TATGCTCATTTGTTCTGCCTAAATTTGGTGTTGAGGTTGTACGTTAGTAATATAAATTATACAAAGCATTCTCTTACTCTACTTAAAACATAACAATTATGTTCGCAGCGACTATTCATTGTTAATCCAACTTTTAGTACATTCGTTAAAAACCTTTTAAAAACCTGAAGTTGTGTAACCCTTACCGAATACACAATGCTAGGGATAACAAAGACAGAAGTAGCAAAGTGTGTTTGAATCTGACTCATAATTATGGATGTTTGGTTTAGTGGTCATTGTGTAGAGACTGGAGTCTTTTGAAATTCTCCCTGTCGTCATCTTTTTCCTGCTGCTCAGCATGTTCATTTTTGAGCCTAAATGGTGGACACTGTGCGTGAAGGTCAAAGCCGGCCAGTGCACTTTTTTGTCAGCAATCAAGGCCAACTGCAGCATTGCACGGGCATAGGCTCAGAATCAAAAAGGGGAATTACAACAAAAACATCCAACCATATTTACAATTTATTGAAGTAGTGTGATAGTTATTTTGCCAGTGGTACGTAAAGCTCGTTGCCAGCGCTCGTTAGTCCTGAATGGAGATGTCAGACTCAATCATTTGGGTTCCTCTCCAAGTCAAGGCTCGTTGTGCTCACTCTACAGCATCCGAAACTCTGGTGGTCGCCCAAAGTCGCCACCCAGAGGCGGTGGCCACACCCGTCTGGCCAGGGGAGCAGCGTTTGTTAATGTGATTAAATGTTAAATGTTGTTGTAAAACATTATTTTTATTGTAGATACTGTATATTAATGACTGGCAGTGGGCGGCTCTGTCTCGCTCGTCACTAGGAAATGAGCATGTGCAGCCAAGTTCCTTGCTGCATTGCGATCAGCTGATCAGATGAAAATGATGACACAGCCCCACTCGGCCCCAGATGGTCTGTGTTTTAGAAGCATCTCCGAGATGCTTCTGAAAAGCGGTTCCATTGTAAACGCTCTGCCCTGAAAATGCCTACTGGAAAAGTGAATACTCAGGGCCGAGCAAGGCCGTCTCGATGTGAAGCTTGGCTCATGCAAAAGTGCCATAAGACAACAAAAGGAGCACATAGTGTGTTGATCCTGTTTGAGCTGATACCATTATGGACTCCAACCTCACCTCCCTGCTTGCCTACATTTAGTTTTTCCTTCTTCCCGTACTGTGACACTATCATCTTTAACCCTGGGCCGTCTCGATGTGAAGCTTGGCTCATGCAAAAGTGCCATAAGACAACAAAAGGAGCACATAGTGTGTTGATCCTGTTTGAGCTGATACCATTAAGATGAAGTGCCAAACTTTAAACATTGATATGGTTGATAGTTCAGTAATTTGAGGCATTTGTACCACAAAAGAAATTGGTCGTGGTATTGATTATTAGTCTCACACAAGAACCACAGAAGCAGCAGAGCGGCTTTCCGTGCAGCAGTGAAAGTTAGTACCAGAGTTTGGTGTAGACAGGTAGCACCAAAATCTTTTAGTTGCGGCCAAAAATCATTTGTGGTGGTTCACCACAGGTAAATGTTGACGTGGGAAACACTGCAGTGTAATGTTTCATTTTGATAAGCCGACCCATGATGTCATTGATCGATCACCAAATTAAAGCCACTATGTCCAATCAAAACATTTGCATAGCTAGCTAGCTAGCTAGCTAGCTATGCAAATAGCTAGCTAGCTTGAAAAAGGTCGGCCCGGTGGTCGACTGGTTCGCACGTCGGCCTCACGCTGCAGAGGTGCGGGGTTCGATTCCAGCTTCAACTGTGGAGTTTGCATCTTTTCCACGTGCCAGCGTGGGTTTTATCCGGGTACTCCGGTTTCATCCCACATTCCAAAAACATGCATGGCAGATTAATAGAACACTCTAAATTGTCCCTAGGTGTGAGTGTGAGCGTGGATGATTGTTCGTCTATGTGTGTCCTCCGATTGGCTGGCAACCGGTTCAGGGTGTCCCCCACCTACTGCCTGAAGACGGCTGGGATAGGCTCCAGCACGCCCGCGACCCTTGTGAGGATAAGCCGATAACAAAATGGATGGATGGATATATTGAAAAAAATCCATAAATAGGTGAATCCATATATGCCGGGGTCCACCGTATAGTCATCTGGAGCTGGACACACATATACAGTACATTCAAAGATGGCTGACAAGAAGTCCATCTCATCACATGCACAGAAATCCAATCATCCAGTCATGTCAAAAGCTCTCCTGCCCTGTCATGTGCGGCCTAATGTGACTGAATCAGTCAGGTAAGCGTAAAGAGCTCATATTGTGGTGAACCTTTAAGAGATGAAGCCTTCATATAACCATCCAATCCACCCATATTTGCCGTTAATGCTGCTTCTATGCACATATGGGCCAAAGTATCTCACTCATTGAACCGTAAGTCTGTCCACCTTATACTTGGCCCACACAGCCTGCATGAGCTGCATTGCTTCGGGCAAGAAGTAGAGAGACTACAAATAAATCAATGAAGAAAGAATTTTTTTTTGTATTGGTATGTGTGACATATTGCTACATACTATTATATCTTTAAGTGTAAATATGACGATGTGCAGACAGAAATGGCCATTTTTAATAACTTCCATAATACAATGGAATAATTGAATCGGTACGAATATTTGGCTTGCTTTTTGAAAATAAAAAATGGAACAATTTAATTTTTTAGCAATCTACAACTAATCTTTCTCCCAGTCTTTGTACAACAAAAGTGATGACCTTGTGTTGTCGTTAAGGCTTTAGAAAATAATGTCATTTCCTTTTTGTCTTATCAAGCCCCTGCCCTTTTGATCGCTGACATCCCATAATCCTTGTATTTTTCACTAGAGCTCAGATGCTTACATCACAGGAAAACGAGTCAATGTTTCATTCATGTCCGTCTTCCTACTTTTGTTGCCAACCAGCTGTTGTGAGAGATCACGGTGCCACATTTAGACCGTGAGAGAGGATTTGGACTGAATCATTTTACAATTTGTTATTAGTGGGCTTCTTTACATACCCATAGGTTAGGAAAAAAAAATCGGACAAGTTAACATTAGCACCCTCTCAACAGTAATGAATGAAGAGGGAAAATACGTGACGCATTTTGCAAGGGTGGGCAAGAGAGGGAAGTGAAGGCACAGATGGCTAACTCAAGCTCGAACATCATAAGAGGGATTGCTTCGAAATGGCAGCAGTAGATATGTTCCGCTCTCCGTATAATTTTGGAAGGGATTGCAGTGTCAAATTTGAACTACATATCGTATGTGTCCTTCCATGTTAGTTCCATTGTGGATTTACTCCTTCATTTAGGTGATTTGGTGTGCTGGTGCTGCGAATACATGGTGTGGACGCTCACACAGACGCACTACATCTCCCAAGATTCACAATATAAGCACAGCTGGAGAAGCCGAGAAAGATCATGGTCTTAATACCTGGGTTGCTATGGCAACAGTGACGTTGGCCTTTGCAATGAGAGAAAATGGCTGGAGACGGAGGAGGAGGGAAGGGAGGGAGAAACAAGAAGAGATGAGAACTGAGAAAACGAGAGCAGAAAACCCGAGTAATTTTGCACTCATTTAAATCCGGGTGTGTTTCAGGAAACGGACAACTCGTAGGTTTTCCTTGGAGCCGACACGTCACCTGCAGTGACAAATTCTTGCGTTTGCAAATTCATCATGCGTGTGTGTTTCTTTAAGGCAATAGAATAGAGTTGTGCGGTGTATGTCCGGCGACAGTACATATGTCTTGTTTGCTTCTTGATCTTGAAAATAATTAAATTTGTTCTCAACTGTTGTCAGCTTGGGGCCAACACTTTTGTTGCATGGTCGCAACCCACTTTTATAGGCATGAAGGAAAATAAAGGGCAAGCTTGTGTACGAACTAAACTAGTGACTAAAGCGTGAGGTAGCTACACTTCTTGTCGCTTACTTAATTGTTTCATGTGCAAACATGGTATGTCTCTGTACTATCGTAGAAAAAGAAATCCAAATGTATGTTTTTTGGTTTTGTTTTGGTTTTTTTTTACTAGATGTACGCAACCCACCCAAAGTGGGTCTGCAACCGACTTTTGATCCCGAACCACCAGTTGCGAATCACTTCTATAGAGGACTGAAATATTGAGTAAAGCGTTCACATTCTGGGTGCTAAAGCTTGGGTCATATGTCATCATAATAACCCCCAATATTAATATGATTTTGAATACAGTCGACCACCACATATTTGCGGTTCAGCACCCGTGGATTTGCATATTTGCAGATTAGAAATTTTTTTTAATATATTTTGTGTTTTGGGGTGTTGGGTTCATTTTTTTTTTTTTACCCCTTTCTCCTGTAAAACATATTCAATGTCTGTGAGTGTGTGTCAAGATTTTGAGGGTGTTCATTTTATTTTTTTTTTAATTCATGGGTGTCAATTATATCCCATACCCCTTTCTCCTGTAAAACATATTCAATGTCTGTCAGTGTGTGTGAAGATTTTGAGGGTGTTCTTTTTTTTTTTTTAAATTCATGGGTGTCAATTATATCCCGTCAAATAGCCGGTGTTTGACAGTGTTTTACTTTTTAGTCCTGCTCTGATGTTTTGAGCTGTTTATTTTTGCTGTATAGATGGAAAATATTTGGGTTTGAAATCGCAGGATGTCATTGGCGCACATTGGCAACAAAACACAACTGTCAATCTCACGTTCATGTACCTTTGCTCACTTGTGATATGCGGATTTAACCCTTTCAGGGACAGCGGTTACTACAGTGGACAGCTTATCATCTTATCAGGTTACAGGGTTCATGAAAGGGTTAAACAAAATGTTGACATCAAAGTTGTGTACCAGGCATAAATACCTGGAAATCTGATGAGCTTTTGTCTCATATTCATCTTCTGATATCAAACCTTAACGTTTTCAGTGTACCACAAAAAAGAATGAAACGAATGATTACATACTAAATAACAGAAATAGCAAAGTGCTGGTGAAATTGTAGGTCCATTATTACTGTCGTTATTGAAGCATGTCATTTCTTTTCAGCTCTTTCGGGAGGTGCGAATAATGAAAGGCTTAAATCACCCCAACATAGGTAAGACTCAAGCAAACAGTTCCTATCCACAATATTAACCTGTATGTATGCATTTGAGTTGAATCTCTTTCTGGTTTGGGGCCACAGTGCAGCTGTTTGAGGTGATTGAGACAGATAAGACCCTTTACCTGATCATGGAGTATGCCAGTGGAGGTGGGTACCTCAGCTATCATGCTGTGTGTTGTTCACTTGAACAAAAGAAAAACTTTTTTTTCCAAGCCGTTCAGATCAGTTAATGTAGGCGTGGACTGATGCACTACTACTCGATTTGGGTAGCGTTTCTATTACGGGTCTGGAGCTGATGGCAGACAAGTTTAGCAGATAGTACCGTAAGCTTCAGAAATAGTGTGACATCATAACAAGAGGTCGGTTTGAAACTCACAAGAAAGAGGAGTGGGTCTTGCCATTTACTTCTCACGGCAAATTTTAAACAGCGCCAGTATTGTGATAAGTCTCTTCAACAAACGAAATAAACATCAGCATTGTCTTTTCACAGCAAATGTAGCAAATGCAAAGTGAATTAGACATAGTGCCGTAGTGGGTTGCTCATACTTTTGAAGAGCTAAATCAGGTCTCATTTTTGCTTCGGTATTGAGGTGGTCTTGAGTAATGTTGAGAAAACAAGTAAGGAACAATTTATTCCTCCCTCAACGACACCACACTATTGAGAGGAACAAAGAACAAAAGGACTCAAATGGAAAATGCTAATGTGAGGCAGTGGCACATTCCATTCCCATTGTCAGAACTATTCTCCACCACTCGATCAAACTCATGGTACTTCCTGTAGTTGAGTAACTAAACACCCCTGGCCTCCATCTGGAATTTTTTTTTTTACTGTTTTACCTTTTCCCAATTACAGGTGAAGTGTTTGACTACCTCGTGTCTCATGGAAGAATGAAGGAGGTTGAAGCCAGAGCCAAATTTCGACAGGTAGAAACACACGCAGATACGCACACACATTTCTTTATTATTTTATGGGCGACATTTCTTTGAATAATCCTTGTAATTATTTCAAATTGATTGTGTCCACAGATTGTTTCTGCTGTCCACTATTGCCACACAAAGAATATTGTCCACAGAGATTTGAAGGTAAGAAAGCTAAGAACACATTTTGGGCTGCTTTCAGAAATAGGGGATTAAGGCTAGTTCAGACTCGTCTTAATCTTTGCGTGTGAAAAAGGGGCCCTATGGCGCCTTAATCATACGGGATGGAGAATTTCAAAGTAGGCGAAGGCTGGCATGCGTTCACTAGATTACGGAGCACTCGGTACACGCATGAGTCACGTGAAGCTATCTGTGTTGTTGGACAACATGCAGTTCCCCCCACCCCCTTTCCCATCTGTTACATGCATCCTTTTTTTCCTTCCTTTACAATTTACGTTTTGTCTTCCAACTTAATCTTATTCCACTTTCTCCTCCCTCATCCTATTATTTTCTGTGCTCTGCATTCTCTACGCTCCCTTCTCTTCCATACTTCACCATCTCTTCCTCTGCATCAACGTACACAGGCAGAGAATCTCCTGCTGGATGCCGACGCCAATATCAAGATTGCCGATTTCGGTTTCAGCAATGAGTTCACACTTGGCAACAAGCTGGACACGTTCTGTGGCTCGCCGCCATATGCTGCCCCCGAACTTTTCCAGGGAAAGAAATATGATGGACCTGAAGTGGATGTCTGGAGTCTTGGAGTCATCCTGTACACACTGGTCAGCGGCTCGCTGCCTTTTGATGGGCAGAATTTGAAGGCAAGTGGGTTGGAATGGGCGACTGCGTAAGGGGTCTTTGAATTGCATCGTAACAAAAGTTGAATCGTGGTGACCGGACTCTTCTTGGTTGTGAAAGACATTGCAACTGAAAGGCCTCACATTTTAGGGGTGGAGTCTTCCTATTGATGTCTCTGATGGGTGTCCCCCACTCCAGAGGTTGTCACTTAAAGGGTATATAAGCTAATTCGAGCATTGCTCTGACATGTGCAAGATGTTTCTTTACACCTTCTCAAGTACTGACATTTTTTTTCAAGGAACCATATCCATTTTTTTTTTCTCAAATCAAAGTAGTTCCTAACGGTCTTAATAAGTTATCTAACATTCAAAATACACAAGTGATGAAGTATTCAAACAGACTTAATATCTACTTGTCACACACTGGTTGAAAGTTTTAGGGGGGGAGGTTTCTGTCTCTATCATGCCAAGCTTTCGTTTCCATTTCATTTGGAGTTTTACAACTAGGGCGGAGCTAGGGCATGCCACAAAGTGAGTTGCTTCTCCTTATTTTACGCCTTGTCGAGTTCTTGGGCTTCCCTCCAGAGCTGAAGGTTTTGAGCGCTCCATGCCCAGACTACGAATGAATGGCACTTGAACAAAGCTACCATTGCTAACGTAGCCATATCCCCCACCATAAAACAAGCACTTTATGGGTGGAGTGGGGTTGACATTGGTACAAATGTATGTATAGTATGTATAGTATAGGACTGTCAGTCTGTTCAAATTTCTAATCATAAACAAGCATATGATTTCCATAGTTAAATTGTGATGAATTGCAAATCAACTGCACATTTTATGTTCTAACTGTACTGTAAAATATCCTTTTTCTCCTGTGCTTGCTAATTAGCATAAACGTGGGCAAATATACCTCATACCTCAGATCTTTTAATAAATTGATATAATAATTTTAATTTGAGTGGGTTTTTTTGTGTTTTTTTAAATTTATTTTTTAAAAAAGATATAGACAATTGAGTTAGCATATTGTTCTGGCCCTTAGCAACTGTTTTGAGTTTCTCCACGTGGCAGCTTCAGTCGATTTCGCACAGTTTTCTAAGGGCAGCGGTTTGGTGCCCACTCTTTTTTTGCACCAGAGACTGGTTTCACGCAACAACGTATGTTTATGGGCCGCCAAAGCCGTGACCCAGAGAGACTGAGCATCCCTTCGGCGGCGTCCCCGTGGTCAATGCCGCCACCTCTCAAGTCAAGAAGCTATTTGTTCATTCGATATGCAACGCACCACAATACCAACTTCAAAATAAAAGCTTCACAAGTGACTGTACACGGACATCGATGTCTAATCTTTTATTCTGAAGTTAACACATTGACTCAACTCATTGTGGCTGCTAACTTGACTTCGACTTTTTGAGGAGCTATCCTCCGCACAGACCAAATGCAGACATGTGTGGCTGCGATATGGTTGGAACGCAAATGCCCACTGAGGCAGATGAGAGTACGATTGAAAACACTCTACTGCACAGTAAATCAACATGCCTTGGCTTAATAGTGCCCTTGAATAATGGTAAGTTTGTTAGGCTGTAGTCCAGTCTGCAAAAAATGTGCTGAAAGCTCCCTACAATGTTTTGCAATGAGTTCTGGTTGCACTAGCAACCAGACACGATGTCTCTTGACTCCTTTACAAGTCAGAGGCATGGTAAATGGGGTCACAACAATTGTAACTCAACTGGAACAAAGCGATATTTCCATTGTCTTTCACTGCTATTGTTTTCCTGATAAAATCTAAAGAATACTGACAGAATCAAATAAAAGCCTCCTTATTAGTAGTCTTGAGGTCCATTTTAGTATGACAGCATAAAATCTTATATAATCCTCAAAGCTGCTTGATACTGGCTCTCATCTCACCAGGCAATGAATCACTTAGCGGGATGAGGATGGGTGGAAGCACTCTTTTCTGCCATCTCTTATCCTTACCAGGACAGCAGGCGTGCTGTAGCCTATCCCAATTGACTTCTGATTGGTAGCTCCCTGAGCTGGTGGTCAGCCCATCGCAGGGCACACATCGACACGCAACCATTCACACTCACAATCAGATCTATTGACAAGACTGTTCAATGAACCTCCTGTGCATGTTTTGGGAATGTGAGAGGAAACCAGTGTACCCGGAGAAAACCCGTGTAGGCACGGGAGAAAATGCAAACTCCACACAGGAAGGTTGGATCCTGGATTCGAACTCAGGACCTCGTGGATGTGCTAGCCAGTCGGCCACCGATCCGCCCGACCAATTGCAGCAAAAAACATCCAAAACAAAATAAACAACAACAAAAAACAAACAAACCATTATTTATTCACTATTAAACTGTTTGATCATATGAAAGATGAAAGAACAATGTTGTTGAAATCGGATGGCCCGGTGTTCCAGTGGTTAGCGTGTCGACCTCACAGTGCAGAGGTCGTCGGTTCGATCCCAGCTCCGGCCTTCCTGTGTGGAGTTTACATGTTCCCCCCAGGCCTGTGTCGGTTTTCTCCGGGTACTCTGGTTTCCTCCCATATTCCAAAAACATGCATGGCAGGCTGATTGAACACTCTAAATTGTCCCTAGGTATGAGTGTGAGTGTGAGCGCCGATTGTTGTTCGTCTCTGTGTGCCCTGCGAGTGGCTGTCAACCGGTTCAGGGTGTCCCCCGCCTACTGCCCGAAGACGGCTGAGACAGGCCCCAGCACTCCCCATGACTCTTGTGAGGATAAAGTGGATCGGAAAATGGATGGATGGATGGATTGATGTTGTGAGAATTACAGCATTTTACGCAGTCACGAAGGTTCAAAGTGCAGACATTTATGGACTCGGCCCCAGAGAAAAGCCCCAAAGCATGATGTTCCCACCACCACCATACTTCTTAGTCATTATGGTGTTCTTTTATTGCAGTGTTGTGTTTGTGAAAAACTATCCATCCATCCATTATCTACCGCTTATCCGGGGCCGGGTTGCGGGGGCAGCAGCTTTAGCAGGGAAGCCCAGAATTCCCTCTCCCCAGCCACTTCTTCCAGCTCTTCCCGGGGATCCCGGGGCGTTCCCAGGCCAGCTGGGTGAAAAACTAGTGAAAAACTAACCTTTTGTAATTATTGCCCAAAAAGTTTAAAACCCTTTCACGCACCCTGTAACCTGATAATGTCACATAGCGAGGTGGTGGTGGACCCCAAAAAGCAGGCAGGAGGGAGGAGCAAGGTGAACTTGATGAATTGTATTTAATAAAACACAGAGAAAACTAAATCCAAAACAAAGTGCAAACAACCAAAACAAATCCAAAGTATCAAACAAAACCATGACTGAAGCTCAAAAAACTAGAACAGAAACATGACCGGAACAACCATGACAGAGGCAAACATACAGCCACAAACAAACAGCAACAAACACAAACAATGACCCGACCATGAGTGCTCGGGCTGGGAGTCCTTTTAAAGCACTAATTACATAATGACCAACAGGTGTGCAGCTGCAGGGAGAGCCCTACAGTGCCACCTGTTGGTCCCAAACCGAATCATGACAGATAACATGATAAGCTGTCCACTGTCGTAACCGCTGTCCCTCAGCAGTTTTCACTGGCCCATAGCACATTTTCATTCACACGTGTTTGGGAGATTATAGTCACCTTGCTTCACTCATCCGATGATGATTTATCTTGGTCTCATTGTTGATTTTTTTTTTTAATTATTATTATTATTATATTAACAAAGGGGGTATTTAAACAGGGGTGTGTTTACTTTCAATCCACTGTATGTGAAGTCACGTTGATATTGTGTGCAGTTTAATGAGACTCGCATTAGGAGCGTGATTGCTTTTGAAATAGTCATATTTTTATTCTGATTCTCAGCAAATTTTAATGCAGTACCATTTGGCACATGTATAATTAACCTCGAACATACTGAAAAAAAATTATTTGTTGAATTTATTCAATTTTATTTCAGCAGATCTTTACACTGAATAAAAACACCAGGATCCCGATACATTTTTTAAGTAAACGTATAGTCAATTTAATAAATGTAATCTGGATCCAGATAATTTTCTTTACTGCAACCACTTGTCAAAATACATTTTTTCAGTGCACATATTGCCTCTTGCTGTCAACTGAAAATGGCATCACACGCACTCGGGTCTCAGGTAACAACCAATCATGGCTGATGTGACGTTGGCAAGCTGTCTTTGTTGCACATGAAAAATAACAAAGTTATCCAATTCATCAAAGACAAAATATTAACTCCTACTCTTGAAAATTGCAAAATAAAGTTAGTGTCCTTTAAATATTTAAATGGCTATGAGTAATATAAATGGGCTGTGACCAATGTTAGACTTTCTTGTGTGTTGAAAATAAGCTTGTGGCTCCGACCGCCTCAAAATGTTAAGCATCTGTAATCCTGTACCCACCGACAGGAGCTGAGGGAGCGTGTGCTAAGGGGAAAGTACCGCGTGCCCTTTTACATGTCCACCGACTGTGAAGGGATCCTTCGTCGATTCCTGGTGCTCAATCCCGCCAAACGCTGCACCCTAGACGTGAGGAGCACCAAAAAATAAAAACGAGTTGAGTTCATTTCCGATTCAAACAAGGCAAACTCACGTTTTATGTCTCTACAGCAAGTCATGAAGGACAAGTGGATAAATTCAGGGTACGATGGTGAAGACCTAAAGCCCCATATAGAACCCGTTGAAGACTACAGCGATCCAGCCCGCATTGGTGAGTCGACTGCGGCCGCACAATAATACACTTTTCATCTCTATTGGTTGTTTGCTGACCGAACATGCTCAATATTGTCAGGATGCGAGATGATTGACATCACCGTTTACTGTTTGTGTGATTCAGAGGTAATGGTCGGCATGGGCTTCACCCCGGATGAAATCAAGGACTCTCTGCTCAATCAGAAATACAATGAGGTCACCGCTACCTACTTACTGCTGGGCCGCAAAGGCGATGTGAGTTATATACACCGACTTGTATTTATCATCTATGTATGAAGGAATGTGATATGGTTTCTTTTACGGCATCATTTACATCCCTGCTGCCCTTGGTACCTGTCAAGTGAGATTGTCACGATTCATCGTTATTAATCTCCTACCGGGTTCTTAACGCAGACTCTCAAGAAGTCTTTTAGCTACTCTTGTTAAATGCTGTCTTTCACCGGGTGGATCAACTTCAAGGCTAATCACTCTTGCCAAGTTACCTTAACAGTTCTGAAGTTGTCTATTTTGTTATTTGTATTTAAATATGAGCATCCAACGAAAAAGTGCCGTTGTCAAAAATCTTTAGTTTTATTAACCAAGAAAATATCTCAAAGCCTTGCAGTGGATTGGTACCGCATCAGCCAATCAGCGCCAATTATTGTACTGAATGTCACGTTGTTCCTGATAGGATCACATTGGAGCAGTCCCAGATTCATACTGTGGAGAACTCCTTTTATTGATTCACGTATCAATCACGCTCTTGTCAGGTTATGAAGAGACCACAGTTGAAGTAAAGAGACCTCTGAACCTCAGAATAGGTAGTGAGGGTGCTTGTCTGATGTGCATTGGGGGAGGTTGATCCACAATTTAGGACCATGAAAGGAAAGGCGATCTCCTCTCTAAGCTGCCATTTAGACTTCGGAACTTCCAGAAACAGCTGGTCAGCTGAAATTCATATGAGGCACATCAACATAATACATAAAACATAACAAACTGTCAAAATTTTACCTGGATTCCTGAACAGAAAGTAATATTTTGGTAGTTGTGTTAACTTGTGACTTCTCAGAGAATCAAAGTGAGCAGCCTTAACCCTTTAATGCCTGACCCGACAAGGAATAGCCAGAAAAATCAGATTTTTGAGAACTGAGATGTTCATTAACCCTTACAACAAAATCCACAAAAATATTTTTGCCATATTATTTTGTTTTAGATATTTGTTGTATGACATTTATAAGCATTATGTAGATTACATCAAAAACTGAAAATTTGGGGAAAATCATATTTTAAACCTGCCGTATCAAATTTGATACAGATGATTTCATGTACTATAAAGAATGAGTTACATAATTAAACTGCATGTATCAAATATGATACGAATGGCATTATAGGGTTAATTCCTGTAAAAAAGGAGAAGTTTGAAATTCTTAATTTTTTTCCCCCAAAATGGTCAAAAAGCAATCGCTCACCTAAAACGGAAAGAGTCCAAAGCACATCTTTCAGGTTGCATGGTCTTGTTTTGTTTATATTAATGAAGGTCAAATGTTAGCTATGGTCAGGAAAATTATTTAAAATAAAAACACCAAATATTTTACTGTGTGAAGCGAATCTTCACTTTGTGAATCGACAAATCCACAACACTCTACTTTATTGGGATGCACCTGATACATACACAGTGTCCAAAACATACAGAGCAAGTCCAAACCTCTACCATTTAGAGAGGAAAAAAAAACATTATAGTGCATCAAAAATCCTCGACAGCTTCCTTGACATATCATTCTTTCTAAAGTGTCCTTCATCCATTTTGCATCTCATTTTAGGAGGGCAGCGAGGCCCGCACAGCTAGTACCCTGTCCTTGGCGCGGGTGCGACCCAGCCCGATCACCAACGGAACCAACAAACACTCTTCAACAGCTACTGGTTCCTCTTCCTCTTCCACCTCCTCCTCACACAGTAAGACACAGCGCAGTGCCTCCACTTACCACAGGCAGCGACGACACAGCGACTTCTGTGAGTATCTACTCTAACTTGTGACTTCCGAAGGTGTTACTGTTACAGTGGAGTGTGGAATGTAGCTCGTCAGCGAAGCTGGTTCAACTTTCAGCGATCCTTTGATAAGCGTACTGGGGGCTGCCGATGCAGAATACTCCTTATATGAGTCTCTTGTCTGTCTATGCACTGCTGTCCTCCACAACAAAGGCGGACCGTCCATGCCCGTCATGCACCCCAAAAGGAGCCCAACGAGCACGGGCGAGAGGGAGCTGCGAGAGGGACGAATGCCTTCACGTAAGGCCAGTTGCAGCGTGATGGGAAGCCACAGCCTCCCCCCTTCTAGTCCAATGGTTAGCAGCGCCAACAACCCCAACAAGTCGGAGATACCAGACCGCCGTAAAGACATGACTGCCACCACAGTGAGTGTTTTCCCACTCAGTGCGCGAGGGGCCACTGGCATTTATTCAAGGCCTTTCTCCTAACCTGTATCACAATAATCTTTATTGTGAGTTGGAGGCATTCTTGTAGTACAGCACACAAGCCACCATGACAAAATAGCGTAAAATAGTGTAAATTAGTAAGTAACATATCAGTAGTGCGGGGATACTGATACAACGACAAATGTGCAAATGATGCGGGTATCAAGCATTAAATTCTCATATATGACCCTTTGAGATGATTTTTCTGACAGTTTTATGGTTAACCGGACTTCCAACTCAATGCCCAACCTTCAGTTTGTGACAATGAAAAGCTCTACTGGAAGTTCTTAGTTCCTAGCGGTCTTCACATATGTGATTATGAGGTTAGGAATGGAAAAGAATGAACTACCGTATTTTCGACACTATAAGGCACACCTAAAAGCATTCAATTTGCTCAAAAGCCGACCATGCACCTTATAATCTGATGCGCCTTATATATGGATCGATATTCTGATTTCTTGGACATAGTATTCTAAATGTTCTGTAAAGCACTTTGTTACAACTGCAGCGGTTGTGAATGCTCAATATAAATAAAGCTGTATTGTATTGTATTGTATTACCTTTAACGTAGCTCCATCTAGTGGATGCATAACGCAACCGCAGCCACTATTGTAGCTTCTATTCAATGCGCCTTATAATGCGGTGCGCCCTATATATGAAAACAGTTTTAAAATAGGCCATTCATTGAACGTGCACGTTATACTCCGAAGCACCTTAAAGTGCGGAAAATACGGCAGTTTTTGCAGCGATAGGAGCAGAATCACAAACTAATATTTGCATGGCAACACATTGAAGCTGAAATATGATTGGACAGAAAAATCAACCCACAAATGACTAGATTTCATTCCGACATGTGTGGACGTTAACCCTTTCATGCACCCTGTAACCTGATAATATGATAAGATGTCCACTGTAGTCACTAACCGCTGCCCCTGAAAAAGTTAATGATAGACTACAGCGTGTTGTCAAACTACTTCATTGACATCATCACGTGGAATGAGAGTTAGATCTCGCTTTTTGTGCAAGACCAGTAGAATGAGCGCAACGTACATTTCATTCTCTTCGGTTTCCATGTGACAAATATTTGTTTCTCTCCCTCACTTTTGACTATCAAGAATAACATCCCTGGAAGCGCAATGACACGCCGAAATACATACGTGTGCACGGATCGCTCAGGGGCCGACAGGCACTCTCTCTTGCAGAACGGCAAAGACAACAGGTACTGCTCTGTCTTTTGTTGCTGTTGGTTGTTTTTTTTCAAAGATACACCAACTCAGGGGGCTCCATTTTCATAGACGGAGTATGTGGAAATGCGATTTTGTTGAATTTGATCGGGGCGCAGGCTTTTTTTTTCAGGTTTTGAGCTCCCCAGAAATATGCGTGGATGTCCTGTTTCGGGTATGGAAACATTTTGGTTTGACAGGACGTAAATAGTCGCATATAGTGCAAAGTGTATACATCAAAGTCAAGGTCAATGTCATGTTTCGGTTTGTGACCAACAGGTGGCACTGTGGGGCTTTTCCCTGCAGCTGCACACCTGTTGGTCGTTAGGTAATTAGTGGCTATATAAGGACTCCCGGCACGACCATTCAGTGTCGGGTCGTTGTTGCTGATTTTTGGCTGCTGTCACGTTTGTTTCAGTCATGTTTTGGTCATTGTTATGTTTTATCTTCAGTCATGTGTTTTGTTTGATACTTTGGACTTTGTTTGTTTTGGATTTAGTTTTCTCTACGTTTTAATACAATTGTTCAAGTACACCCTGCTCCTCCCTCCTGCCTGCTTTTTGGGGTACACCATCACCTCGCAAACGTGACAGTCAAAATACTTCTCGATTGAACTGTTCAACTCTTCAATGATTCAAATAAGCTGATGATCGCACTTGGAAATAAGGCTTTTTTTTTCCCCAACCTCCTGTTTCTGTTTGTTGAATACAGCTCTTTGGGCCACCGCATGCCCGCGGCTTCTCCCTCCACACTCAGCATTTCCGGGGCTGGAGCGGCATCGTCCTCTTCTTCGGACCGGTGCCGCTTGACCCGAGGATCCACAATCCGCAGCACCTTCCACGGTGGACAGCTGAGGGATCGTGGCCCTCCGATTTATTCGGCCCCGCCCACTTCACCCACGCTGTCCCACCATGATGCCAGCCCTTTGCCCCATGCTCGCACCAGGGCCACCTCCAACCTCTTCACCAAACTGACCTCCAAACTCACTCGCAGGTAACTTGTACGGTTTCTACGTCATTCAATTCCCTGTGTTTAGGAATAATCTACAATTCACGACTGCGCTTCAGATCTAGTATCGAATTGGAAATGTGTATAGATGTCATAAAAGCAAAAATCTAACATTTGCTTTAGGGATGGGCAACTGAAATGCTAGGGGGAGCCAAAATTTTTCATCAGTGCTTTTCATCGGTTTTACGCCTGCCACCTAAAACAACATCAAAACACAATAAAATCGTCTAGCTTGGTTTTAAATAACTAATAAGAAAACTATTATTCGTCTCACAATGGAGAAATTTCCAATTAACAACTGCAAAGTTATGAAAGGAAGAAAGCAGAAGAACAAAAAGTATAGGAGCTGCTGTCAAGGCTCCACTAAATCTATTCCCCGCAATCTGTTTCACAACTTAGTTTAGGTATGATTAAATACATTTATACATTTTTTTTCTTCCCCCCAATTTTGCTGCTGTGGACTGCAAATTTCCCCAGTGTGGGACAAATAAAGGTTATCTTATCTTATAATTGCTAACTGTTCCTTTTAGTGGCAAATGCTTTTAGCCCACTTTTATTCTTACCAAACAGCTTCGAAAGCAATATTCTATTATTCTACATATAGCCATGAAGCATTATTTCTAGCAGATCTTGACCTGGCAAACGTCAGCATTTTTATTTGCTACATCTGTCCAATCCGTAGCTAACTTTACCATTCTGACAAATAACTTCAGAAACTAAAACACAGGCTTTAAGTATCTATTTACATCCTGTTTTGAAATCTGGAAGTTTGTGCTCGGCTCGTGGGGAGTGAAAGGTGCTCTGAAGATTTCAAGTTTTAAATTTCATCAAATTAAACGTTTTCATTTCTGTCTTAAAATTTTATGTGTCTCACTACATTATTTTAGAAACCTACCTTGGGACTACGGCTGAAAATTAGCATATATTGCTAAATCCGGCGCATTTAGGCTGTTTATTCTTGTTGATTAATGTGCACTGTCCCAGTGAAATAAATAAATAAAAATAAGATCAATACGAGAAGGGGAAAATCCTCAAATACCATCAAAAAGTGAAAAAAGTTTCTTCCATTCAACTTGAGTTCAACCCTGCTGGGATCCATACGTATTAGACTGTTTACTCATATTAGCATCTTTGCAAATCTGTCTGTGGCCCCGGATTATCCCCTGTTCCCCTCTCTCTCTTGTCGTCATAATCACACATGACTAATCTAATCAAACCACAGCTTTATCCTTACCACTCACTCAATTCCTGTGCCACACTCTCCTCTACCACTCGGTCTCCCGCGATTCAATTATCTCTCTTGTATCTCTTGAAACCCCCCACCCCCCTCCTCCCTTCACCGCTCTTGCCCTCTTTTCTCCGCCATTGTTTCTTAATCTGCTTTCCTACCGTCGTGGCATCAGGGTCAACCTTGACCCGTCCAAGCGCCAGGGCTCAAACAAATCAGTGTCGGGTTGCACTCTTCCACAAGGATCAAAAACCGTTAGTAAGTTCCCGTGTGTCTTGCTTCTTCCTTGTGTGCCTGCACTGCTCCATTGTCTGCCTGGTCACATGGGAGTTACGTCAGTACATGAATGCCTTGACAGATTTTTCTGTATGGCTCTATCTGTTCATTATTGTTACTTTGCATGATTTTTTTTTCCAACTACGATCTTCATTTTATGCATTTGTCATCCATTAGGTTTTGAAGCATGACTTAGCACTTAGCAAGAAAGCCTGATTTGCCTTTATTATTTGTTGTTTGCAGGGTCGTTGTAATCCACAAATGAGACAATGTCATTGTGTTGTAACTCTTCATCCATCCATGTATGCCCATATACTCTGGTGACATTGAACACACTTCAGACATTTTCATAACGTGAAAAACGGGCATTATAGAAAAAAAAAGCAAATCGATACACAGCTAGCCAGTCAACTCCCATGAGTCTGTTGAATGAAAAATTAAGGTCTGATGGTGTCGTGCCCTAAGATGACGTGACTGTAACAGGAAGTGAGACAGATATTTAAAAAGGCATGTTTGTTTATGCCCATTAATTTAGCAATTAAGCGGCATGGTGGTCGACTGGTTAGCACGCCCACCTCACAGTGCAGAGGTTCAGGGTTCGGTTGTCCTTCCTGAGGGGCGTTTGCATGTTCTACCCGTGCCTGTGTGAATTTTGTCCAGGCACTCCGGTTTCCTCCCACATTCCAAAAACACGCATGACAGGTTAATGGAACACTCTATATTGTCCCGAGGTGTGATTGTGAGTGCGAATGATTGTTCATCGATGTGTGCCTTGCGATTGGCCAACAACCAGTTCAGGGTGTACCCCACCTACTGCCCGAAGACAGCTGGGATAGGCTCCAGCATGCCCTCGACCCTTGTGAGGATAAACGGATTAGAAAATGGATGGATGGATGGATGAACAATTTAAACTGTTTGAAAAATGCCCGTTGATCCAAACATACCTTGCTGGTGCTTTGGGGGAAAATAATGGGGTGCTTGTCGTCAGGTTCATGAGCCATGATATTTTTACTTCCTTTTATTATTATTATTATTATTAGATGCCGAGATAAGGGTTTACCCAAAAACAACTGCGTACTGTACCAAAAATAGCATGTTGGAGAGGCATGTACACAGCTAACACCTGAGTAAAAAGCATGCGATGTCATGCTACGTGTAAGCTAATGACCCTGTTTACATTACCTTTGATGGGACAGTCAGCCCTGCTAATATGGCCGCTACATATGTGCATGCATTGCTAGCTGTCGTCTACTATTAAGACCTTATCATCTTTCCATTACCCAATGACGTACTCCAACATAAGGAAAGATGGCATCAAGGTTGCAGGTTTGACTTTCCGAAGAGCCCCTTATTCTGTTAGTTATGTAAGAAAAGAGAGCAATGCAAGCCAGAAACAGCTTACCAGTCTCTGTCTGCTGATCGCGCCACAGTGCCGTTATGGGCAGTGGACACTCTTTTCTGTCCATTGATTTTGGGGTCCGTTGGTTCTCGGGCCGTTGAATCAAGGTTCTACTGTATCCAAAACACATGTGTGTACACCGGGGGCACCATGACATGACTACATACCTTTGCTTTTTGTGTCCAAATTAAGGTACACCAGAGCTGCCGAAGTCCGGTCCTCGAGAGCCCCTATTCAGCCTGTTTTTAGCTTGTCTCCCTCCTCCAATACACCTGATTCAAATGATAAGGATTGTTAGCAGGCTTTTGCAAAGCTTGCTGATGATCTCATCATCTGCTATGTTGGAGGAAGGAAACATGTAAAGCAGTCTGGCACGGGGCTCTCGAGGACCGGACTACTGTCCACTAACGACGACACAAAAAGGAAAGAAGTCTGTAGTCATGTCACATCCTCAAATAGAGTGAAAGTTCATTCACAGTGAAGCTCCACAACACATATGTCTCTTCCGTGCACTTCTCATGCCTGATTAAGTCAGTTGATTGATCGCGATGGCAGTATTGCTTTCCAGCAGCTGCACTGTGAACGGCCTCTGCATACGTTATGTGCTCAATGTTGCCAGAGAGTTTTCATTATCAATTTGTGGTTAATGGGTTGAAACTCATTAAATGTTTATTTCATGTGTTCCAGTAATGTGCACTGTTGTACTTTAAAGAGGAATCAATGCATGCTTTAAATTGAAGTGAGCTAGCTGGTAAGGTTATATATGGCCTGCTTTGTTGTTGATGCTTGCTTGTTCGGAACCTCATCTCATCTCACTGGCCAGTTTTCGATGGCTGTTGACCACTCCGGATTACCTCTTACATAGCATCTCTGTCTTCCAGGGTCACAAATGAATCTGAGGGAATCAGGAGATTTGCGGTCACAAGGTCAGTGCGCTTGTCACATCTCAAAGTCTTATTTCCTGTTTTGAGTACAATCGGAGCAGTCACTGTGTCTACCTTTCCAGTTGCCATCTACCTGGGTATCAAAAAGCGTCCGAGCCCAGGGCCGTCGGACGTGGCTGGAATCTAAGAAGCAGTGGCCGGCGGGACCCTGCGGAGGTTGTACTGGCTCTGCGGGAGGCAGCACTCGGATGTGGCTGCCAGGTGCACCATGCCGGCCCCTTTCTGCTCTCCTGCACCCATGGCGTGGCAGGGGGCCGTGTGGCTTTTGAGGCCGAGGTGTGCCATCTTTCCACGGGCGCCTCCGGGACTTCAAACGGGGTGCGCTACACACGACTCTGGGGGGCACCACTAGCTTTTCGGGACATTGCCACCCAAATATCCAAGGATCTTGAACTCTGAATGGAGGGTGGGCTTTGACAACGGGTGTGGGGATGTGTCAGTGTGTGTGCGAGTGGTCGAAAGAGTGTTTAGGTGTGAAAAGGGAAGGGAGTTGGGACGATTTCAAAATAATGGAGCGGAGAAGCGGCAAGGGGCTGGATTCAAGAGAAATAACTTCTCTCCCCTGCTTGTTCACAACTTCCCCACACGTAGACACGCACACATGCACACACACTTGCTCCTTACAAAGACACACGCGCACTGAGGCAACAACTCCAAGCCACCTCCCCACACCCTCTTTCCGTCCAGTCACCCCACAAAAGCTCAGCTCTCCTCGCTGACAAACTTCACCCACTGGACCTGGATCTGACTGAATCTAGTTCAATATTTTTTACTACTACTCTAGCCATAACTCTAATATTATTTTTTAATTTATTGCTCTGATGGTTGTTTTGAATTCACGATTATTTTTACTAGTGCAGAAAAAAATATTATGGTTAATTGTGTTTCACTGACAAGCTCCATCCTCTTGAAATATTCAATCTGTTCATCTTGACGTACGCTATTCAATTTTTCATACGCTTTCCGGACATAACATATGGAGATGGGTTGGATCTGTGCCAGACAAGCAGTGGAGTTGCGTTACTTTGATTAGTCCACATCGCTCGTGTACAAACGACAGTGACAACTGCACCGGATTAAGGTCAATGGGAGCAGGGTTGGCCAGTCGGAAACTGACTAACAATAATGAGTCTGTGACATCTTCAGCTTAACGAGGCTGTGGGTTTTTGGCTTCTCAACACATTTGCCGGTGCCACATGAGCAGAAAAATACTTTTGAGTGTCAGCAGAGAGAACACAGATGAGCTCATTCAACGAATAGAGCTTTTTTTTTTTTTGGTTTGTTTGTTTTCAACGCTCAACCTCCAAGTGAAATGTATGGAAAATATTTTCACATTTGGTAGTTTTGCCGAAATATATTAATAACCTGGCCAAATTTGGACCTAAAGTTATTTTTTTTAATCTTTTGGTGAATTGATCTCTTGATGGAAATGTTTCGATACAACTTGCCCTCATGAGGATATGAGCTGAAGCCGATCACAGCTGAATTTAGGCAGGCAGGGTTGCCCTGGACTGGTCGCAAGTCAATCACAGAGTAAATACAGACAAACCATTAGGCGCGATAGGCAGACCTAACGGCGCCGTGGACTCTACGGGGCACCAAATAATGACTATACACTGAAAAAAAATGGTGGTTTGAAGTTATTGTAATTTATTTTGTCAAGTGGTTGTGCAAAGTGGGTGGCCTGGTGGTCGACTGGTTAGTGCGTCGGCCTCACAGTGCATAGGTGCAAAGGTTTGATTCCGGCGTTCCAGTGTGGAGTTTGCATGTTCTCCCCATGCCTGCGTGGGTTTTCTCTGGGTACTCCGGTTTCCTCCCACATTCTAAAAACATGCATGGCTGATTGAACACTCCAAATTGTCCCTCGGGTGTGAGTGTGAGCACGGATGCTTGTTCATTTGTGTGTGCCCTGCGACTGGCTGGCAACCGGTTCAGCGTGTCCCCCGCGTACTGCCCGAAGACAGCTAGGATAGGCTCCAGCACCCCCTGCGACCCTTGTGAAAATAAAGTGGATCCGAAAATGGATGGATGTAATTTATTTGAATGTATTTAGTCAAGTAAAATCATCTACATACAGATATAATTTTTAAGTAAATGATACATCTGCTTAAAAATACGTAACTGGATCCAGATGATTGTATAGCGTGCAGCCACTTGACAAAATAAAACTGAATACCGGTAAATTCACCATCCCATTTTTTTTCAGTGTATAAAATTAAAAGAAACTATTCAACGAAGAGGAGCAAGGTGAATTTCTGTCGAACCAGCATCCCTGCCCAGGATGAACGACGGCTTTTGACCTGTGTGTCACCTGCGTTGAATAACTGTCAAATGGCCAAGTTGGTTGCTGTATATTTCAAAATTTATGACGGGGTAGTTGCACTTTAAATGGTATTTGAAAATAAAAGGATTCATATGATTGAGTAATAAAACTTGAAATAAATAAAATTTTTCATATTCAAGGCAATAAGAACAAGTAAATCCATGATTTCATTTTAAACGAATTTACAGTGACCGAATCACTTGTTGGCTGTTATAGAAATTAAAAAATGTGTGTAATACATTTCTTTTCCTACGCAAACTTGTTCATTCCCTGTGGAATGGTGTAAAGTATTCCATAGGGATGTCAATAAATTTCGAAATGTTAAAACAAGCAAATATTTTGCTACTTTGTCCTTTCCGACCTTTTCAATCAAACCATTATCACTTTAATGCATCTAAAATTTGGCCAGGGTATAAATAATATATGGCTTAACTGTACGTGAAACAGATTGCAAATTGCCGGATTTCTCGTTCATGTGCTCGTTTGAAGCATCATAATTATTCGACCTGTCCTGGTGTGTCAGACTCAACCCTTCCCCTTTTTTCGTCAAACGCATAGCACCGAAAGAGCAATTCCGACAGATACTTGAGAGAATCTGTCCAAACCTGTAGCCCTCATTCACTTCAACGTTTACGAAGTACGGTTTCACGACGCCGTGGGCAGCTGAAGATGTGGCAAGTATTATTGCCCTCGAGGGTAGAACCGTTGTGCCATCGCAACTGGTTTACTTTCAGTGCGATGCAGTGGTCGTGCTTCACTCTGCGCCATGCAGGGGTTACCACTGTCACTACCTAAAAAAAAAAAAAATGGATGAGCCAAGTAGCAAAACCCATCGGAGTATACGGAAAAAACACACTCCACATTCTTCTTCTTGTTGTGGCACAGTATATAAACTTGTCTGTCCATTCTTGATGACTGTGGGCTGTTGCGTATAAGGGGGGGGGGGGGAGTACTTCCCGGAAAGGCATGATGAAGGCATTATGGACGTTTTTTGTTTTTTTTTTCTTGTTAGTCCAGTTGCCTTTAAAGTGAACTACCCCAGCGCCTTCACACAGTATATTTAAATGTACAAAAAGGAAGAGACAGAACCAGTCGCGACTGCTTTCTGTTCTTCCACCCTGTTTTTAGTGAATACCGTACTGTGATATTTACGTAGGCTGCAGAGATCATGTTTGGCTGCTGATTTACTGTTAATACTCTTTCTCAATTGTGGCTTTTCTCATGATGACACCCCCAAACCAACACCCATCATCATCCCTCATGTCCATTTTTCCTTTTCATACCAAATCAGCAACTCGATGAAACAGGGATGCCAACTTCAACCGTCTACCACCTTCAAGTTCAATCATTCCAAGAAACATCTGTTTTTGTTTTTGTTTTTCTCAACCTCAAGACCCTGTTTTTCTCAATTGTACTGGGAGCCATTGTACAATCATGTATGACATCTTTTCATTGCTGATTGGTGTGTGCGCTTTTTTGGCCGGGGAGGAGGAGGAGGAAGACTGGGTTTGACCTGACCTCCTCTTTAGGGTGAAAAGCAATGTGGACACCAGGGGGTCTCTCCCTGTCCTCTGCCTGGACGTTAACTCGTTGTGGTATATATTTGCATGAGGTCATATCGACCTCAGTGCACTTTGCTTTGACTTGAATCAGCTCCTTCCAGTGGACCTTTCTGGGATAACCCCAACTCGCCACTGGAAGGCGCCAATGTCTTAAATGTGAAACAACTTCAATTTGTGGATATTTGCACAGGTACTTAATTTATTTTTTAGAATAATATCATGAAAACAGGATTTATATCAGTCAGTTGTTGACTGCATATACAATTTATGAAAAATACTATATATCTTAGAGCTCAAGGTTTATTTATAGCTAGAGCAAGAGATCGTCAATCTAATTTACAAAAGCTGTTTCTGTCAGTGACAATGGGGAAGAAAAAAAAATCAACCCACTTGCAATCCCGCATGACTTCAGTGTTTGGATTCAAAGGGAGAAATGAAATATGACGCACAGCTAGGATCGGTATGGCTGCAAGCTTTTCCCCTCTCACACATGGACAGATAGCTTTTGGGTATAACGCAGTGACTTCGCATTGTTCACTACATTCAGGGCATCGTCAGGCTCATGAGAAAGTACGCCTGTTTTTCGAAATGTACCCACATAACCTACTAAAAGAGAAAACATCAAATGTGAAATCCCTCTTTCAATTGGGAATCGCGAAGCATTTATCTAAAACTGATGCCAATCCTTGAAAAAAAGCCCTGTGTTGCATTCAAGCCATAGAAAGCTACGCCACTGACTGGGTTGTGTATCAGGTGAAGCATCGCAGTGGAACCAACTCAAGAGAGAGAGGAAAGAAAAAAGTCTCAAGCAAACAACTTAGTGGAGGATGGATAAACATTCATTTAAAGGTGCAATCTATTCAGTTTTTTTTTTTTAATACCTTTGTGGTAAAGGTAGTTTTGACGGCTGGTACAGTATTTTTGAACCCAGAGTGCACAGTATTAAACATGCACTGTTGTTCTTGGAAAGAAAAGAAGTCGATGTATGCAAAAGAGCCTCAATGAGACCGATGAAAGTTTGGTAGCCTTTTCACTGCTTTGCTCTTTTAATTCCTCCCCAAATACAACAACAACAACGAAAAAAAAAACAACTGTAAACTGAGCTTCAGTGGTTGTGATATCTACAGGAGAACATCGAGCTGAAGGTTAATAAAATTCACTGATGTTGGCATTCTTTCTTTGTCTTTGTCTTTGTCGTTGGGTGTGCAAACTGTCACGATCAATCACAATAGTTTGTTGCAGAAGAACTTTTTCGCCCATTTTTTTTCTCCTTTATGCACACAATGGATTTGAAATAACACAGGATGTTATTGTGCACTTCAATGTTTAATTTTAAAAAGGTTCGCGAATAAACTGTATTTACCATTTATCGTTTTAATGCAAAGTATGTGCAGTACGTACTGAAGTGTGTGAGCAAACCAAGAAAACAAGTATTGCCAGCTCGAGGGCACTTTGAAATCAGTTTTGGTCAACAGCAGAGGGCGGTATAATGTCACAATAGAACCCCCTGAAGTGGATGAAAACTCTTGAAATAATCTAATTAATTCTTATTACACCAACAGAATTTTAATCAGAACAGCGTGTTTAGACTTGTGCGGAAAAATAGAATGGAATATTGCAAAGAGCATTTTTGTCTCGGGTTCCCCCATAACTACAATTTTGTTTGATCAGGAGTTGAAGACGATCAGCAAGTGCCCGCTTTGCAACGGCCAACTGTACATCATCCGCAAGTGGAGATCTTCTTGGAGTTCCTCAAAAATGGGCTTTGCATGCGACGATCTCCTGCACCTAATCCAGCTAGTCAGTTATGCTTCCGCTGTCTAGACCGCACCGAATTTAAAGGGGATGAGGGAAGCTGCTTTGTTTGATCGAGAATCAAGTTGGCTGTGTTCACTCCCAAAATGGCGCAAACGCCTATTTGTAACTATACCCGTCTACGAATATGGCAAACGAAAGAAAACTCCCACCTATGCACATAATTTGACTGCACTTTATGCTAGACCTGAGCTGGGCAGAAAAATAGGGCCCTTAATGGCGTAGTTACTCAGCTCCAGTAACATACTGAGATGCAAACCTTGAAGTAAATAAATAAATTGTGATCCCACCAGACAGAGAAATTAATATATGATTCCACTGGGAAGTCAATATGTAAATACAGAAGCTGAAAGTCCTGCACATGCAGTGAGTCGATGGACATCCACAAACAGATGTTTATGCGTTCACATCTATGGAGACCCAGGTGCCAGTAAGTTAAGAAGTGGAAACTAAAGCCCCACCTTGGTCCTATCCCCTGCAATTGCATAGAAAAAAATAATAGACCTCCCACCGCAAAAAATAAATAAACTGACCAAATTTGAGGCCGAAGTACAGTAGTCACCAACATTATCATCTAATAGACATGTAGTTATATAACCCAGCCGCTGGGGAGCAGTGCCCTCCCCTGGGGGTACACTGTTCCCCGGTGCCGGTCCCAAGCCCGGGGAAATGGGGAGGGTTGCGTCAGGAAGGGCATCCGGCGTAAAACTTTTGCCAAGACGGACATGCGAGTTGATAGGGCGGTTTGCAGGGACGGATGGGAATTAATGA